GCAGTTTATCCTCTTGTCACCATAACTAGCTAGAATTAGTTGAAATTGTTTCATGGTTTGGTATATCTTTTCCCCTGAGATTTAGCTTTGAATCCTCTTTGACAGTTAGGTGTTGAATTTCTGTCTTAAAGATAAGAAAAAGCTACTGTCTTCAAGGTATGGATTGAGAGGTGATAGTGTTGTGTGCCCCACGGCTGGTTTACATATTTCATTGCATAAACTGTTCAGTGTAAAAGATATGAATAGTCCCTGGGAGTCGGGCCTGGAACCCGTGGTCCCTCACTTCAGCGAGTGCCCTCTCACAAGGACACAAGGACACAAGGACAGAGTCATGCTCTTAGTCAGTGATTACTTAAGCCTTGGAGAGAAATGCCATCTGCAGAAAGGCTTGAGAAGGATCCGTCCCAGCTGGTCTTAGCTGATCTGTTACTTAGAGTAGTCTCCAGGACAGTCAGGGTTGTTTCCCACATCCCGGGTGAGTGCTCCAACCACTGGGCTGCCTTAGAAAAGGGAGCATCAAAACGTCTTTCTTTTTCTGGCTGTGTCTTTAACCAAAAGCAATGGCTTCTGCTCTTTCTGTGGAAGTTAGTTCTTTGGATATGAGTGTGACATGTTCCGTGCACGTTTTATTGGCAGGCAAGGGAACAATTACTTTGAGGGGCTTGAGTGTTTAAGCATTAGGCAGTTGTTCTGGCCCTGCCAAAGCTGAGACTGCCTGCATCTGTGCATGCTGATGCCTCCAGAATTTTATCATCACCTCTATCTTTTTTTTTGCCAGTAGTACTAAGCTGCAGCTAAATAGGAGTTTGAAGCATCATTGCTTTAAGTTTAAGTGTCTAAAGTTCTGGTTTTATAGGTGCTTAAAAGGTCTCCATGGATCTCTTCCAGAATCATACGGATCTCTTCCAGAGTCCTTAACGCAGCAATGAGAGGGGCCATATAAATTCCTAGATGGCAAGAGCTGTTTTCTTATCTGCCTTTGGGGGAGGAGGGAGAGGCTAGGATACCAGTCACCAGGCAAGCACCGAAGTTCCCGTGTTGTTTGTCTGCCTTACTAATTTGTAGATGGACAGATAATGATATCTAAGAGGTTCTGAATTGACACTGAGTAGAATACCAAGGGACTGTTTTTCATAGGCACCACCAATTTTTTGCTGATCATTGCCGTCCTCCTTCCCTTGGATTTTGTAATTCCTAAATGTACAGATTGTTGGAGCCCTCCTATTGTGCTTCTGTAAGGCCCTTGCACTTTGGCGAGAACCAGAAAGTCTTGGCATGGGCTTTTGCTGCTGCTGCTGTCTCCCTTCCCCTGCTGCTCCCTCTCGAATCACCCCTGGTGGCAGGTTTTACTGCAAGGAGAAAGTGCTTAAACTAAATATAACTTCTAGCCCTTCCGTACGAATGTTGGTCAGAGTGTAAGGTTTTGAAGGGCATATGTCTCCCCTCCTCTTTCCACGTGCTGTCTGGAGCTGGCATTGGAGTGATGTCAAAGACGGTTGCTACAACAGAAGCAGCTTTGCCAGGCAGAGAACTGCTGAGTTGTCAGCTGCTGAGTCCAAATTATGCCTTTTACCTCAGGGAGCACAAGTTATAAAAGCATGTGTCATGGAAACAAGGACAGCACCATACCAGTTCCCTGCTCTTTCTGTCTCACTGCCCACCACGCCAAAAGTCAGACCCAACGGAGTAGCCTGCAAGAGAGGACGGGCAGCCTGTGTTGCCAGCTTGGTGCTAGGGGAGCACTTGCGAGCGGGATGGTTTCCCCCTCGCTTGGGCCACATGTTATCAGGGAGCAGAGATTTCTTTCTCACCTGTAAAGCCATAAATTTAGGGGCTGCTTCCTGCAAAACAAGAGTGCAGACTTTCAGTCAGCCTCAGGCAGCTGAAATTTCCTGAAGTCTTAGGAAACTACAGGAGGGCTTTCTTTGGATTGCTTTTATGTGTTCACTATCTTCCAGGCCAGCCAAAAAACTTCACTGACACAGTAATGTTGATTAGAGAATTACTAGGGTTTTTGATTTGGTTGGTTGGTTGTTTTTTTTTTTTGGTGGGGGGATGCTTCTATATTGATGAGCAACATTATACCAATGTTGTCTGCTAATATAGCTTACTGCATTTCGATGACTTTTACAGTTAAAAGCACTTTCTTGTGTATTCCTAAAATAGAGAAATATATTTGTGCTTGCTCTGTAACTATAGCTGCACTGATAATAGTTTGTAATATCAACTTAATCTTAATAGCTTAATATCAAAGTAGCTTAGCCAAAAGTAGCTAGTAGTGTCTAGTCATGAAGTTTATATAAAGCAATGTATTTGTACTATTTTTAGTTGATAAACTCTGAATTAAAAAAGTGTGCTGGAATACTTCTTATGCTTACTTGACTTTGTCATTATTGCACAGGTTGCTTAAAGTTGTGGTAAAGGTGCAGGTATTCAAGATGCTTGTGTTGTCAGTCTGGCTCAGATGCTCCCTGTTTTCTGCTGCTGGGCCTTAGCCATCTAAGCTAGCTCTATTCCAGCCAACTTTATGTCCTTGAGTGCCCCTTGTGTTGTGCCCTTGGGCTTGCAACACATTTCCAGCCTAAAGCTTTAAAGACAACTTTCCCTTTATTTTGAGCACTTTGAACCGAGAAGCACACAAAAAAATTGTCTTGGAGCCAGACAGTGATATTGGCCACTATCTGTGAAGTGGTCACTGGGCTAGTCCATACCTAGGCATGCTGGTCCCAAGCAGTGTGAAGGGAAAGCAGGCTGCAGTATTTAGGCTGGGGGTGAAATTACCTCTGTAGTGCAGTCTGCCAGGGCAGCATGGGCATCTTTGATATGTGTCATTTCTGTAACTTTACAAGCTGCGTTTCAAATTACTTGGGTGTTTGAGGGTTGCACCACATATCCCATGTATCTTGAAGACCCCAGAGGAGAGGGAGGTTTGGACGTGGCTCTGCTCAGTGTGGGGCTGGCCCGGGCAGGTAGCTGGCTTTAGAGGCTATCTGATAATATTTGCCCTAGCCCTATCTAGGGATTCCTTTCAGATCAGGACTTAAGCGATCGCCAAGAAGCTTTTGTGCCAGGACAGCTCAGCTGCTCATCATGTGATGTCACCCTGTTCGTATGGCTGACGATGGACGTTCCCTTCTTGAACTGGGTGATCCAATGGTTTCTCTTAGCTATAAAATCTGTGAGGACAGAGCTACAAAATATCTTTCTCAAATAATTGGTGTTAATAATACTGCAGGGCAAAAATGCTGCTTAAGTCAAATGAACTTCAGAGGAGAATTATAGTGGTCAGTGCAACAGTTGGGGCTTTTGCAGGCTCTGAAGCCCAAAGGTGAATGTAAGCTATTTGTATTCCAACTATAACTACTTTTCAGAATATTTCATGTTTTGGATCAAGTTCAGCACTTTGTGGAAAAGAGATGCTTGACCTCTGAGGTTTTATAGCCACTCTGGAGCTAAAACTGAGGAGATAAGTTGTTAATGTTTAATCCTAGGGAGAGAAACAGAGAGAAGCTCTGACTTATTTATGGTGTAGACGTCACTATTGTCTTGATTTATGTGTAACAAGCCCCAAAATACTGGGTGTGAGATATGGACATAAATATTGCACTCTTCTTTCACTTTGGTTGGAGTTTCTGCTGATTCGGAGGATAAAAATATCTATTCCCTAGAGTCTACCTATTCCCCTTCCTTTCCCCCTCGTTCCCCCTGCTCCGTGCTCCTCCAAAGGTCATGGCTACGAGAAATCTTTAGTATGCCAGTCCCTAGGCACGTAACTCATAATTCGTCCTCTAGAGTAATATTGTCACAGTCCCGAATATAGAACAGTCTTCTCCTCAGGTTTAAATGTGATCGATCTATTTCTTTTCTGAAATTCTAGGAAGTCTTCAAAAAAAAGATATTTTTGACCAAACCTTGTGTTGTATTTCAAATGATAGGATTAATCTGGATGTAAATTGAACAACCTGTCACATAACCCTTATTTTAAATCTTACCTCAAAATTGGTTGTTGATCCTCTGTGTATTGTCTTCCTTCAGCACTAAAACATTTTTTAATTAAAGTTCTATGGCATTTTTGTGCTAATTATGTTTGTGCTAATTTAGTCTGACATGGATGCAAAATGAACCCTTGTATCCAGTCTTTCCTTTAAGATTTCAAGCAGTTCATCCCATCCTTAAAAAGCTTTGTGAATACTTAATTACCTTTACTTTTAAAAATATGCACTTTTAGTTAAGATTTAATGCAGGGCATTGACTCTCCCTTGTCTCCTTTTTGTGGGCTATGTTAAAATCCTTTCTAATGTAATCTTTTCTAATGTAGGTAATTGAGGACTGTGATCAAGTAACCTCATTAAACTAAATAGTTGCATTGTTTTAGGCTTTGCAACAGCAGACTATCTCCCAGACCTGAACTGCTCTACTCCATTTGATTCTGCATATAAATGAACTTTGTGTTGGACTGAACCATTTCTATTGCTAATGAATTGTAATTTTTTTCTCTTGCATTGTTAGATCTCTTTCTTCTGTTGCCTTGTCCATAGCGATTAAATTGGGAAGACTTTTATTTTCAGTAGCTTTTATACAGTTACTTGCTTGAGCTGTAATAGCTCATACGTAAAAACTTGAAGGTTTTCCATCTGCTTCTCCGTATTTCAACTAATGAGCGGTGCTGCTGGTGTCAATATGCGATGAACATGTCCTTGAAAAAAAATAGATTCTTGTTTATTATCCTTTTGTCCTAGCATATACTTGCTTGCTAATCAGTAGGTAACTCCGAACTGGAGATCAGTTTGGGCAGTGATTTTTGCTGGCAGTAATGGGAGCAAGCTTAACTGCGTGGAGCATTAGGTCGTTAACAGTCTCTGAGCGAAATAGTGTTAATTTCCCCTTCTGCATGTTCAACATAGAAAGTGTATTTATAATTCCACCATCTTTTCTGAGTCATCCTCTAGTGGAGCATCCCTCCCCATTGATTATATATACATCTTTTAACTTCAGGTATCTCATGTGACTACCCACAGCAGCGTTCAGTTCTCCTGTACTGAAGAGTGAGGACTGAGCCTGTCACAGGCTCTTGCAGCTGGGCTCCTGCCAACAGTGCAAATGTAAGTTTATGCGTAACTTTACTCTTGAAATAGAATTATTCATATATTTACAAGTCTGCAGATTAAGGAGCACTATGTGTACGTATGTGGTTACTGAAGTTTATTATCTTACATAAATCTGATAGTTGCACAGTCGCAAACAGCATTCCGTGCCTTTGCAATACCTTCTCTGCGGTGGGCACAGGTGATCTCTGATAGCGTTAGCTGCCTGTTTCATGGGATGTGTGAAGTAGGATGTTACAGTCTAAACCTGTACTAAAGACTTTAAACCTGAACCTGAATACTTTAAGCTTGAACTAATGACTTGAATAAGAATTTAACAAGTATTGCTAATAACTTTCTCCAGTTGATCTCTTCTTTTGAAGTAATGTGCATCGATTTTTACCATTGTTAATGATAGGTGAGTGTTTGGGGTGGGTTGTTTTTTTTTTTTTGTCCTTCTCGTTAAAAAAAAAAAAAACCTCTCTGAGATACTTTTCACTTACATTCCTGGTACTTCTATGGGTCTCTAATCTTTTTAATCTCTTCTGCTGTAGCTGACAAAGACTTTCCATATATGTTGTTCTAAAGTCAAATATTTATGCCCTGAGGCACGCACGTTCTCATTTAAATACATTCTGCAAATGTAATCCTTGTAGAGATCCAGTGTGTAGCTCTTTAGTATGCAAGACTGCAGAACTGGGAAAGGCAGAGCACTCTGCAAAGGCATTTGAGGAGGTATTTTTCAATGGTAAATGGGTTCTAAGAACTTGCTTTCTGGTGAGATTGGCACCAGATCTTGTAGAGGAGCATTTCCTAAAAGAAAAATAGTTGTGAGAGGTTTGCATTTCATACCGTCAAACTTACACTAGAGGTTTTGCAGCTCTCCGGATTTAGAAAATAAGAATGTGCTTGGCCTTTTGAGTCATACATTATATATTTGACGGGACTTAATGTAAGTGCATAAAGAGCAAAAATATTCCTAAGGAGAAAAAGAGACTGGAACACAAACTGAAAATAAAATAAAGCAGAGCATGTCTTTCCTATAATTGTACCAATTACCTTTATCCTCTGTGGGGAGTTAGGTTTCCTCTTGCCCCCACCTTCTCCCCCACATGCCCTGCCACCTCACTTGCAGCCGCCAGAGAGCCCATTGAGAATTGTCCCACGTCTCTCGTTCCCGCAGTTAGACTTGCTCAGCAGTTTGGAAACAATAGCTGCTTCATTGCTGAGTCGTGAAACAAAAAAGTTAAGCGTATCAGCAACAATGCATGAAAAATGTGATGAACAGCCTTCCACAGGAAAAGATGTTTCCATGCCAGTGTGTAGGTATGCAGGATTTATTGCAGACAGAAGGTAATAAGTAAGAAATCCTTCTTCTTTTGTGCATCATCTGCCAGCTCAGTACTGAGGGAAGAAGTAAACTGTGAGATTTACTAATAATAGCAGGAAGGAAGAACCCTGTTAAACAAAGATAGCAAAGTTGGAATGATTTCTGTGTGTAAAATTCAAGGATGTTTTCCCCCCCGACACACACCCCTATTCTCCTACTCATCCTTGAGAAAGTGAAAAAAGCCAACTCTGGTAGAAGAATCTTGCTCTCAAAGGCAGCGTGAGGGAAAAGAAGCAGATCCAGGTTACAGATGAGGTAATGATTTTCATGTAAAGAAAATGTGAAGATGTGAGATGAAGTGCAGCTGCAGCTTTGAAAATTTCTATTTTGATTCTTATTCTAAGTCTGAATTGGGTCAGGAGAAACATGTGGAACTAACTCACTGTGCCCTATTAGTAGCAGTCTCAGTTTTCTGTGAGCTGCTTTCAGCTCCAAAGGAGGTGCAGCATCGTTCGCCTTGCAGTCGCTGCTGTCTCAGCACTTGCTGGTTTGTTATTTACAGGCGTTCAGTTCACTGTTTTTGCCAAGTTCTAAACCAACCGGCAGAAAACCATTATTTTATTTTATAGCAATAAAAATGCTACATAGGAGTCCCAGCCATCTTATGTATTATTTTAAAACGTTCAGATCTTTGTTGCTTCGTTCCTTTTGTTGAGCGTTATCTTAATGGTTCAGAGTTTGTTCAACTATTTGATCCCCCTCAGGGTCCTTCGTAGCAGTATTTTCCATTCTGAGACCGTTTATGAAAAACTGAAAAGCTGCTAATTTACTTGTATCATGCAAAATCAAGAAACTTGCTAAGTTAAATAAATCTAATCAGCAGACAAGATGTAGTCTTTGGAGTATTCAAAACAAAATTTAGGAGTTTCTTAGCATCTTCTTCACTCTGTGAACTGAGAGATCTCAGTTTATGTTGTGTCAAATTTGAGGTCATCTTGCAGAAATGGAAAGCAAACTTGAGCTTTTCTGTATGCTTTTTGTTGTAAAACAAGATTATGCCTAAGCTGAACAGTCACCCTAAATTATTTGACATGGAAAAGTAGGTGTGAATTTAACTGTAAAACAAGTACGTCTTGTACCTTTGGCATTGCAGTCAGTGACTTCATTTAGGGTAGTAGAGTTGAGGAAGAGCCGCGATTGGTAGAGAAGTGGGAATAACATATAGGAGTCGATTAAAACTACATTGCTGAGGGCCTCTGTGCTTCAGTCTACGTCTGTTAGAGGGACAGAAAGGAGAACTTGATGGATCTGTGTATTTTTCTGTGCTGTGCTGCTATGAGAACTGATTCACGAGTGGACCACGAGTCCGTTGCAGGGGCCTGGAGCCCTGTGTTAGAGGAGCGGAACGGGCAAGGGGACAGTTTTAGCTGCAGGCAGCCAGGTTTGGTCTGCCTGCATGTCTGTTGGGCCCACGGCTCCAGTGAAGGCTGTGATTAGCAAGCGAGTAAGAGGGTACCAGTGCAGTAAAGGAGTGAGCAGACCTGCCTATGAGAGAGAAAGAGCGTAGATTTCCAATAGCTGTGCCTGTGTACGTGCATGCACAAGTGCAAGAGTTAATATTTATTCCTTATAGTGTGGCAGTGGCCTCTCTGAGGTCTGCAGAAGTTAATTAGGAAAGAGACTGGCCCCAGTGCATTTCAGCTGTAGAAGTCAATATTTGTATTTCTGAGTGCTTAAGATAAATCCCTACGCTTTGATAAATCCCTACACTTTGCTGCCTTAAAAGGAGGAAATGCATGTATAGCTTGAGAATGAGAAGCTGGGGAGGAATAAGATATAACTGAAAGGGTATGTGAGAGAATAACTGTTCTCAAATAAATGCTAACTGCTCTGTAATTATGCATGGACAGGCTTGTTCTGATATTGTCATAATGTATTGTAGGCTTTCCTTCTTTGGTGAGGTTGGAAGAGGAACAGCAGTACTTGAATACCAGCTTGGGAGTGAAAGAGAGAGGAAGGCAATCAGTCACCTGAACAGAAGGGTAGCCTAGACGTGGTAACATGCTGCAGAATGTCTTCATGCCACGCATCTGGTCCTTATAAAGGGTGGAAATACAGCCGGGCATGAGAGCTTTTAAAATGACAAGAAAGATTAATAAAACGGGAATTTATCAGAAAATATAGATCTATAGTTTCAGGAATCACTCATTCCCTCGATTACTAAAAAATCAATTTCTTTCTCGTAAATGACTCTCATTTCTTTAAGACTCCTTAAACATTCACGCTAAAAGGATATTGCATAACTGTTGCTCATTATTCTCAATATATTATTTAATGTGAAAGCCACAGTTCAGCATTTGATCTATTTATATGCTGTTCATACCCATGAAGCCAGACTTTCTTTGGATTTCGTTCATTGTACCTTAAAAATAATTTGAATACCACCGGTTTCATTGTAAACAAAGAATGATTCCAACCGTTGGGTCATTGTCGGTTGTTTATAAAAAAACACTTGGAGTTGCTTCAATAGCTACCAGTGTTCTCTTATAAAACTAAATAGGCTTTTCCTGTGGTGGAAAGAAGATTAAAGGTCATATAGTTCCAAATAAATTTTTGCACATTACTAGATTAAGGGAAATGAAATTTCATTAATAAGGTCAACTCCGTTAATGTTTATCAGCTCATAATGACGTACGAACTGAAGGGAGGCTTTAGGGACGGGATTATATAGATAAATGATTTTACTCAAAGACCAGCACTTTTCTCTTGCAGCGCTCTTCGTAAAATTTGAGTGAGGGTGGTCTGGGCTTTGAACCTCACATTGAGTAAAGCACAACTGACAATGCGGGCAAATAAAATTTCCTCTGCAGATACGCTATCTTGAGAACAGGGTCCTAGCATTACCAAAGAGATGAAATATGTTTTGGAATTTTGGGTTTGTGTTTTCTTTCAGTTACATATCAGTAAAATGCAGTAGTATACGGGAGAAAAGGGAAACCTCGTCTGTACAATTTCATTTGATTCTAGGTTTATGCACTGCAAAATACATGGATATATTTGTTTATATTGTTGTCCTCATATTGAGTATTGAAAAGGTAAAGTGGATGGCCATAGCATTCATGATAAGATGCTTTTTGTGTATATGTGCAGTAGTGCGATTAGCGCGTCTTTGGTCAGTGTTCTTGTTCCGTGCTGTGCTGCGAAGTGCAAGAATTCAAGGAAGTGTGACCATGAGGTAACCAAATTCAAGTGTTTCAGGAAATGTGTGTAGCTGTATCAGATTTACGCAAATACATAAGTTGAATCCTTCACCTTATTGCAGTATTAATTTGGCAGTTGTACTAAGTATCAAAAAAATTCTGAATGGGTTAAAATACTAGTGTGTAAATGACTCCTAGCAATTTCCTTCTATTGCACAGCACAATAGGCCAGAAGATAAAAATTTCTCATTTAGCCAGTAGTGTCCCTTAACCTTCACCCCTTTGCTTTGTTCTTTGTTCAGATGATTAGGTGTTTTCCATCTGTACCTTTATGGGAGAAGAATCTGTACTTGTTAATTTGAGCTGACTTCCTAAGGAAGTCAGGCGTATCTGATAATGCTTTGTCTGTCCTCTTACCCCCGCAATAACCTTTGAACACGTTGCCCAGGTTCAGTTCACTCAGAATGAGGAGCTGAGGTCTCACAGTA